CTCAGAGCATACACAACTTGACCCTTTGATTACATGCCAACATTCATTTATATAACAAAATGACTTATTGATTAAGTTGCCTCTGATCTGATAGTTGCAGGAGTAATGTTGTCCTACTGCTTAACCTGTCTCGTCTACTTTCTCGGATCCTACGTGTGAAACACTCACACGCTAAGTCATCGACTTAGTGAGACAATATAATAATAATAACAACAAGGAAATGTAATGAAAATGTCATAATAAGATGAAATGAGATGAAGTCTTATACTTAACAATGCAGTTTATATCACTATGTTCATTACCTATAAGCATATTCCATTAACATTCATGAATTCGTATTAATAAGTTTATTGGCCCATGATACCATACTGAGAACCTAAGGTATGTGAGTACTGTGAGGTTATGCACTATGTTGTCACCACAGCTCGTTTAAATACACTGAAGTGCCACGTAGAATTGCACCGAAGTACCGCGTAGAATTGCACCGTAGTGCTATATAAGATGTCTCTAATGACCACGTAGAAAATTCCTTAAGAATCATATACATATGCCAATGATCAAGTACGTGTCTCAAAAGACATCACACATGTTCCAAGGAATACATATATCTCTCGAATGACCGCATAGACTCTCTACTCTTGGCATGCCAATTATACCTATAGTTCTCATCTACATAACATGAGCTTTTCTCAATCTACATAGTATATCACATATACATATCCTTTTCCTTACCTTCATCACATAGTTCATATAACTTTGCATACATATTCATTTAAAACATATTACACAATACACATAGTATGAATTTCTATTACATTTCATGATATAAAATGAATCATGCATCAATATATTGAATCTAGACTTATCACAAGTCTAGAACTGGATACACTACGAAAATCATGTTATGCATATGCACTCACCTATATTTCTTTGCCTTTCCCTCGATCGATCTTGCTGGGCAATTGTTCTGGAACTTATTTAAGCTCTGTATCTATATAGTAATACATTGATACTTATCAGTATACTAATTATATATTCTAAACTATCATTTTTAGGTTAAAAGAAAAGCTATTTTCATCTTTTAATAAAGTATGCATTGATGCACTCCTTAATGTGTGATGCACTACTCGTGCATCGGTACACAAATTACATTCAATGTTTTCTTCTCAAGGGGGTACATCGATGCACTAATTGCATTCGATGTTTTTATTTTAAAGGAGTACATCGATACACTTCATGTGCATCGATACACCTTGAATAATTTCTGGGATTTTACCCTTGATGCATCGGTACACATTGAATGTGAATCGATGCACATAGCCCATAAATGTTATTTTTAGCACGAAATCCCTTCATAATCCCCTCAACACTACATAATTCACCTCCTTTCATATCCCTAATTTGCATACACTTACTTAAATTAATTATTATCCATTCAATACCTCTAAAACTTAAAAATCCAGTCTTCCCTATAGAATTTAAGAATCTCACTCAAATTCCAACATGTTCTAATCCCTATTCTAACACTTTATATTCCTTAATTAGCTTGATGACAAGTCAAATCCCACTTATAATTCTTTTATGAACTCTAATCTAAGATTTCACTTTTCTACTTCCTTTCTTTAATTCTTCATATACTCCTCATCTTATGGTTTTAAGATAACCTAAGCTTTCCTTAAGCTTAGTTATTATCTAATGATCAATAAGCAACATTAAATTCATCCATGATTTGATCAACAAGAAAACTCACCTTTAGCTTGGCTTCACGGTGGAGAAGAAGAATGAAGAAGAAGAGAAATCTGGAAACTCTGGTCTTCCCCACTAACTTCCACGTGGGTATAAAATATCATCAACTAATATTTAATTGTTTCCATTGTTAAAAGACTTATTTACCCCTTTAGTTCCTCCTTCTTTGCTAATTGATCCTACACCAAACATTTCAATCAATTCTTTAAACTTTTCAATTTATCTAATTAGGTCACTGAATTTTTAAATATCACAATTTAATCAATAACCCGGTATGGAGGATGTTACAGGGTGGATGTACTTATACAGCTATGTCCTTCCATTTATGGGCATACTGTCTAACATTTTCCATGCTCTGTATTACCAGTCGATTGGATCTTACATCTTTCACTTGCATGTTTGGAGAAGTAAGCCTAACCGCAAATTCTCATAAAGAACTTTTCCTTGTGTATTCTCTTCAAGGGATTTCCAAGATTAGAGTTCTAAGTTGACTATATGCTGGGTTTGGCTCTATGGTTAAAAGGGTCATCAAATTATCCTTGTTGGAGTCCCCTTAGACTACCAAACCCTCAATCTTGGTCCATTACAAACTTTTGAATCGAGTTCAATTTGAAGGAACACACTCCCTTATGTCCATACAGAGATGAAAACCACACGAGGAACATAAGGTGTGAGCTCAAAGAATGGTCCCCCTATCCCATACGGAGGTGAAAACCAGAAAACAGAAAAAAGAAACATATCATATAATCACATAACTCACAAAATTTATTCCTCGATTCCAATAAAGACATAATTAATCTGAAAACACTAACAAACAAGTTAGTACAACTATTTATACAGAAAATGGTTATTAAAATAATCAAGGAAAAAACTAAATTAAAACAAATTTAATTTTATTGCAAAGACAATTAATTAATAGACTGGTGGCTGGACTCTCTCCTTCTTAATTCCCTAGCAGAGTCACTAAGCTGTCGAGACGTTTCTCTACCCGGCGACGGAGAGTAAAAATAGTACACTTCAAAGAGCGTAACTAGTCTCGAAAAAGTAAGTGTTTATCTTCCTTGAATCAGATGAAACACCAAGTTGTAGAGTCGCCACCAATCTTTTAATTTGGTGAGATTGGTCACCAAAATGTTATATTATTCTAATAAAGTTCCTAAGAATAATATTAAAATAATAAAACTCAGGTATGCTTACGAAAAAAATGAGTTCGAGAGTCGGTTAATTATGGGGAAGGATTAGCACCCCCATAACGCCCAAAATTGGTACCGTTGTTTATTAATTAGCATCTTTGAATAAATCATGAATTTAATAGTATTTAATATAAATATTAAAAAAATATATTATAATACTGAATATTATATTCACATAGATTAAATTATAAATTATGTATGATAATAATCCTAAAATATAAATACTAATATTAATTAATTATATAATAATAATTAATAATTAAAACATAAAATATTAGAATTAATTAACCTAATTCGAAATATTATTAAAAATATATAATAATAATATAATTTCCATTAAATTGATATATATAGGTCAAAATATAAACTTATTAATATTTAGGGACTAAACATATAATTTATCCTAAATATATATATGTGGCAGGGACTAAAATACAAATAAAATAAAATGTGAAGATAAAATTAAAAGATATAGAAACCTGATTTCGGCATAGTACATGAACTGCGGGCATGATTCGCCCATGCGCAAATTACATGGAAGCCCCTCCCTTAAACGGTGTCATTTTAGGGAGGGTATAAATATACCCTTAACCGACCATTTAGGCCACTTCTTCTTCATTTCTCTCCTTTCTTCTCTCTCTCTAAAATAGAGAAGAGAGAATTCTCTCTAGCTTCTCACTAAAAACCTCCTACCGGAGAGATGCTAGCTACCGGCGGTCACCTTATGCTGTCAACTCCAATCACCGCCGGCCACCATCCACGGTTGCCAGAAATCGAAAAATTACCCCAAATCAAAACTTTCGATGTCCTTTACCTAATTTCGAACCCTTTTGGCCCTAAAAGACTCTCACTCAGCCTAGATCTGGACTTTTACTCTCGGTGTTTCGACTCTCCAGTGAAGCGTGGGACTCCGAAGGTAAAGGTAAGTCTCACGATCTTTTGTTTCTGTTTTCGATTCGTTATTAGCTACTATGGATCGTTGCTTGTATATAGCTCTCGTTCTTCCTTTTGTTTATGTCTGTCTTTGTTTGGCTTTGCTTTCTCTATTGGTTTTTGACGTGTATATTCCCCCTGCTTGCAGGTGATTGGTCGAGTCCTTTTATAGGGCTCAAATCTCGGCTGCAATGATGAGGCTATGGTGAGGTGTGATGCTGTCATTTATCTTTTGGAGTCTTCTATTTGAGGCGGTGATGGTGTGTCATCGGCTGACTAGAGCAGTTGAAGGCGGTGGTCGGAATAGGCCCTAGGGTGGTAATGATACCCTAAGGCTTCTGCTAGATACATCTGGGCCCTCGGATTTCTTTTGATCGGACTGTTAAGATCGACTGACGGCTAGAGGAAAATGTGATGAAACCCTAGCTACTGAGCTTGGGCCTTCTGGTCATTTGGGCCTGGATCTTGAATCGGGTCTGGGCTTAGCTTGGGTTATTGTATTTGGGTTCTGGTTTGGGAAAACGGGCTCCGGGTTTAATGTAACTGGGCCTTTAGGTTATGTAATAATAATATAATTATAATAATAATAAAATTATATAATAATGTAATAATAAGATTAATAGTATATATAAAATAATTAATAATAATAATATAATAAATAATGAAAACGGACAAAATTTAGTGTAGACAAATAGTATGTGATAATTATATAATAATATCTTTTTAGAATATTTTTTTAATTGTTAATAATATATATGTACCTACATGATGTAACTTGGATAAAATAATGATAGATTGTCGCATTGCGCATATGAGTCCCACCTTTCGGTCCAATGATTTCCCTCGTTTTCTAGCTACATATTTACGTGATCTCTCCATCCTCAAATGTATAAGCAGATAAGGACAACTTTTTCTCTTATTCGCTTCCGTCTAACAAAGAGAACTATTTGGATCACCAAATTGTTTTCAAGTTTCAACACTAAAAGAAGCTTATTCACTCCTCGATCCGATCCCGGTTTAAGCCTCTCAATTTCACCCATTTCTAGGGTCTCCCGTTTCCCTCTGTTTCGATTGTTGACGTTCGTTGCTTCGTTTTGATGAATTAGAATGGTTACGAGGGATTGGTACTGTAAGTTTAGTTTTTCTTTTTTAATGTGTGAGTGAGTTGTGTATTTCTGGCTAAGGTTGCCATGCAGAGAGTGATGCAGTCGAATGTGAGTACTAGCGCCGCTACTACCAGCTGCGACGGTGGCTTTACTTCGTGCAAAGCGGAGGAGGTTATGATCTCCGATCAGTTCCCGGCTGGATTGAGGGTTCTGGTTGTAGACGATGACTTTACTTGCTTAAGAATTCTCGAGCAGATGCTTCGCCGTTGCCATTATATCGGTGCTTAATTTTGCTTTTTTATTTTTTTTAATATATATTTCCGTGCATTTTCTGTTTATAGAACTTCCATTTCGAATTAGGCTTAGTTCTTAGTATATACTATCGTGGTTGTTACTTTTAAGCGAACGGGGAAAGACAAAATCGTATTTCATTAAAGATTATCAAATCACTAAAACACTAGACAAATTTGAACCGATCAATTGTCCTCAGTGGTAAAACAGAATGTTGTTCTCCCTGGACGGTCTGGTTCGACAAGTAAGCATTATTTTCTAAAATTTGCATTTACATGTACTAGGTTCCGTGCTATCAAACACTGGAAAGAATCTTAACTATTTTTTATGGTTTCAACTTAATTTTGCTATTTTTGAGGATAATGAAATGCCTTGTTGTTTGTTCAAAGTTTTTCTTTTCTTAAATAAAATTTCCTTTTCCTTTTGCAGTTACTACTTGCTCCCAAGCCAAAGTTGCCCTGAACCTTTTACGGGAGAGAAAAGGGTGTTTTGATGTGATACTAAGTGATGTTTATATGCCAGATGTGGATGGTTATAAACTCCTTGAACATGTTGGGCTTGAAATGGATCTTCCAGTAATCAGTAAATACTCTTTTGTTTTCCTGTTAAGACTTTTGATTAAATTTTGCTTCTGCTTATTAACACGATGAAACTGTTGTAGTGATGTCGGCTGATGGGAGAACGAGTGCTGTTATGAAAGGAATTAGACATGGGGCTTGTGATTATTTGATTAAGCCCATACGTGAGGAAGAATTAAAGAATATATGGCAGCATGTTGTTAGGAAGAAATGGAATGAGAATAAAGAACTAGAACATTCAGGGAGCTTAGATGATGCTGATCTGAATAAACGAGGAAATGATGATGCTGAATATGATTCTTCTGTCAATGATGCAACTGCTGCATCACTGAAACCTCAGAAAAAGAGGAGCAATACAAAAGAAGAGGATGATGGTGAAATTGACAATGATGATCCATCCACATCAAAGAAACCACGGCTCGTTTGGTCGGTGGAGCTGCATCAACAATTTGTCAGTGCCGTAAATCAGCTGGGGGTTGATAGTAAGATCTCCAATGGTTTGATCCTTTTATTTATTTTTCTCACAATGTTGAATGCGGATAGGGGGTAGCATTTTGAATTCTGTTTAATCTCCAAAATAGGAAATGTTAATATTAGTTGGTGTGTTTTTTTTTTGGTTCACTCTTGCTGAACAAAAACATTGTGGCTTCCATTTCAGAGGCTGTTCCCAAGAGAATTCTTGAGCTGATGAATGTGCCTGGCTTAACCAGAGAAAATGTTGCAAGCCATTTGCAAGTGTGGTTCTTCACATGCATTTTCTATATCGGCCACTACTAGGTTGAACTAATCATAAATATATTTGAGAGTTTGGTGATTGATTCTCTGCTTTGTTTTTAATGAACTAATTAAAAGAAGTTGATTGTTGTTTTGCTTGCACCTTCATAGTTCATTTAGATTTTGGCTTGATATCAATGGTTTCATGTTGATATGTCGTTTTGGTTCTTATTATTATGAAATTATGCATTACCAATTTTTTTATGCTCTATTTTTTAGTGAGAATATATGGTCTGTTTCTTCCTTTTGGTTTTACTCTGTTGTGATTTAGTAGAGCTAGAGCTCTTCCTCCATGCAGTTCTAGGTTCAAAATCTTGTCTTAGACATCACCCATTCTCGGATTTTAATTTACATTTAGTCTACTACATTATTACCCCCTTCCATAAAGACTGAAGTTTTATCGATTTTCCAATATCATATTTGTCGGGCGAATATGTGCAGGGAAGTTTTGATGTAAAGTTAATGAGATATGAGTCAACAATGGGTCTCATAATGGAGTTTAAAAGAAAAAATAACCACAATGGTCAACAAGGCTTGTATTATTCACTTTTTACTTCATTTGCAAGTCATAGTTGGTTGTATGTTGGATTATATTACGAGGCTTTGCCTTGAGTGCTGGTGGGACTACCTGCAAGCTGTTTTTGCTGAAGTGAGCACTGAATATAACTTTGTCCAGTGTTAAGAATGCACAAGCAGGATCAAGGATGATTGACAGGTAAGTCGAAGTCAATTGTCTTCACTTTATCTCGGTTCCTACAATGGTCTATTGTGATTAACAACTCAGCTTATCAAAGGGAGATTGAAACCTTAGGGCTCATCAAAGAGAGATCTAAATCTCTTTAGGGTTTTTCTAGAAATTCTGCTTAGGGTTTATTATTCCATATGTCCTTTTCAATAAGGACCATAATTATTACATAAAGAGGAAACTTATTCTAGAAAGGAAATAAACTAAAATAAAACCACAATCAAGAAATATTAATTAGAGAATCAAAATTAATGGCCTTTAAAACATTCGTCCGTTTCCCCTTCTCGCAAATAGAGCTTGTCCTCTTGCTCAAAGTCCAGATAAACTTGACAATATAAATCAGCTTGGTTGAGTGTCAATTTCAGTTCTGGCTCTACGTCATTTGGATAAGCTAATTCCAACCGATAAGAGATTACAGTGATGTCTAATTGAGTAACTGTGTACGGTTCATTACAATTATAAAATATAAGCCTTCACCCCTCACTACGTCATGTCTACTCTTGATAATTTTTTTCTATACCAGCGGTAGATGAATTTACCAGATTTGCTTCAGTAGTACTAGTACCCCTAACATATTGCTGCCTTCAAAAAGTTGGGATGTCAAGATTGTCCTATTAGCAGGTGAATCAAAATTGTCCTCATTACCTTGCTAAGTTTCTCTACTGTTATTTTCAAGATGTGGCATTTGATGCTTCTGTACGAAGGCTCTAGCAAGGCTCATAGCTATGGCTAAATCGGGGTTTTGTAAATTTGAACATCCAATTGAATGAAATTGTGAATAACACATGATGGTCTACCCAAACATTCTGACTAGCCCGTGCTAATTTTTCCTGAAACTTTCGCTGATGAAGCTCTACAGTTTCTGCATGTTTCAAACTAACCAAATTCCCCAAGGATCGCTACCTTTTGGAAGACCAAAACGAAGGGAGCAATAATTTTGAAATTCTAACCAGTTCATCACGCACCCCTCCAACTTAATCTCATGACACCAAAGTTGTGCCTCACACATCTGTGGAAGGTTTCCATGCTTACCTTGTTTGCCTCATTAGTTTGTTGGTTTCCGAGGAAATGTTCACATTAGCGGTGGTGGTGCCTCGCCCCCTCCAGCAACTAGTGGGAAAGGCGCTCAATCTAAGTTGGATTGTATTACTGCTTGTGTCACCATCCCCCGGTGTTCAGATTGTAAATTTAGCATCCACCGGGGATTCAGTAACACTTGCCCTTTTTGTAACAGTGCTTGTACGTAATTGACCATTGTGGTAGGTTCTGATGGCAAAATTTTAGGAATTCGTTAATAAGATTGTGTCACAGGACGATTGGTGGGGAAGTCCACGTCAATTGTCTTCCTTATATCTCGATTTTAAGACGACCTATTATGATTAACAGTTGAGCTCATCTAAGAGAGACTGAAACCTTAGGACTTGGTAGAGAGACTTTGATCTAGTTTGGGTTTTTTTTTATGGAAATTGTGTTTAGGGTTTATTATTCCATACGACCATTTAATTAAGGATCAGTGTCATCACATAAATAAGAAACCTATTCTAGAAAGGAAATAAATCAACTAAAATAATATCACAATCAAGAATCCCAAGGAAAGAAATAAAATCATTACCTAACCCTTAATTAGAGAATCAAAACTAATCGACTTTAAAACATAGGTTTGGCCCACAACATTCAGGCATAGCATTAATGTTGTTGTTGACATCTTGCCAAATTATAATAGTATCTCCTTTGAGGATTAATTGATTCATGTTTGATCTGATTGGATCTGGGTCTCATAATTGAGTTATGAATACAAAAAGAAAATTATATTGGTTGATGATGCTTGTAGCAGTGATAATTTTTTGCTCTTTGGTTTTAACTAATGATTGTGATACGAGTCTTTGCCAGCAGTGCAGACCACCTGCATGCTGCTTTATGTAGAATCTGAACATATAACCTGTTCAGGAGCTTGAAGCCTATAAATATTTATGTTCTTTTGAAATTATATATGCATCAAAGTACAAAGTACCTAATTGTGGTTGATATATTTAGCTACTTCTTTGCTCCTGTTGAAAAAAACTATATTTACCTAAGATATTACGATCCTATATACAGAAATTCAGACTATACTTGAAGAGAATAAGTGGAGTGGCTCAACAAGGTGCTATTTCTACTCCACTTTGTGGGCCGGTAGAACCAAATGTCAAAATTGGTTCACTTGGGAGATTTAACATCCAAGTATTGGCTGCCTCTGGACAAATTCCTCCACAAACCTTAGTGGCCCTCCAAGCTGAGCCGCTAGGTCGATCAACTGGTAATTTAGTTATGGCTATGGACCAGCCAGCTCTTCTTCAAGCATCCCTTCAATGGCCCAAGTGCATTAAAGTTGACCATGGTATCACATTTGTTCAACCTTTTGTAAAATGTGAATCCAGCAGTTCCATACACTTCCCACAATCCTTTGCACCTGTTGAAGATGTTACTTCCGGATTCAAAGCATGGCTCTCTAACAACATCCCTACAGCAGGACCCGGTAATAATGGAGGGTTAAGTTCCCAGAATGGTAACATGCTTATTGATTTGTTGCAGCAACAACTCCAGAAACCACAGCAGCAATCTACTGTTCCCGAGCTTCGCTGTTCGATCAATGTGCAGCCATCTTGCCATGTTGCACCCTCTCAGTCGTCTGCTAGTTTTCAGGCAGTAAATAATCCTGTTTCTGTGACACAGAATGGAAGCTTTAGTAGAACTGCTGTTATTGATTACAATCTTCTTCCGTATCAATCAAATTGTTCTTCATTGATTACTGGACAAGTCTCTAATGTGAATGTCCAATCTACTGGTGTTCTTAGTGGGTATATACCCCCTGCTTCTGTTTCTCCTTCTGTTTCATCCTGCTCGGTAAATGCTGACAATTGTGCCAGTCAGCAAGTTCAAACCTCAAGCATGACATTTAAAGCATCCAGGAATTTGCCAGGATTTGTACGTAGCACGAGTAATGTCCACGATCCCAACGGTTCTACCAAGCCTGGAGATTTGCTTGATCAAGCACCTTTTAATAATCTTGGATATATTAATAAAGGGACTTGCCTCCCTGCCCGGTTTGCTGTTGATGGGTTTCAGTCATCTTTGAGTAGCTCTAGCCATGGAAAGGTTCTTTGTGAGAATATTGGTACCAGAGTGAAGCAGGAGCCGAATATGGAGCTTGGGGATAAAGCGAAAGTGGGAATACAAATGCTACAACATTTTCCTCCACATGATCTCTTGAGTGTTTCCACTGAATAGGTATTTTAATTTGGTCTTTAATAAATTTTATTTGCCTAACAGCATGCATGTGCATAAGTTGATTTGGTCTTTAGTTTGCTTTTGTGTGGCGTGTCTTTCACTAAAAGTAATTTGCCACTTCATTCATTCTGCAATGAAAATTTACCGTTTGCTTTGTTTGACTTAATTTTGAAGGCGACACTACTGTGTCTTTGCATGGGAAAGCTAGTAATCAACTTTTGACTATTTATGAGTATCACATCAAACTACGTGTATTCACTCCTTTTCATCTGGAGTTTATTTTGTACATATATAATAATATAATGTAGTTTTTGAAAACATACAATTTAAACGTTTTTAAAGCATATAATATATAATTTTAAAAATCGGTTTGAAAATATATAATATGGTTTTGAAAATACGATTTAAAAACATATATTATATAGTTTTGAAAATACATTTTTGAAAATATATATATTATATAGTTTTGAAAACACTTTTTGAAAGCATATATAATATATAGTTTTAAAAATGATTTTTTGAAAACATATATAATATATAATTTTTGAAAACATATTATTTTTAGTTTTTATTATATATTACATTAACATTATTTATTTTTTTATTTTATTATTATTATTATTAATTTTTTTGATTTTTGTTTTTCAGGTCCAATGAAGCACAACCGAGTCATGCCAGCCTAACCCAGCCAAGCAAGCCCGATTTGGGCTTGATCCAACCCAGTAAAGATTAGGGTTTTGTGAACCCTGAAGCAATAGGACAAGAGAGCCGCGAGTCACACCGGTCAAACAAGGAACAACCGGCGAAACGGCCGGCGTAGTGCATGAGAGCATGAAATCCCGTTGAAAACAGGATTACAACAACCCACAACAGCCCGGTTAAATCGGAACGGGGGAACGACCCCGAAACAACCGAAAACGGCCCCGACGGCCCCCCCTATAAATGCCTACAACGGAGACAACAACCACACAAGATTAAACCACAAGGAAGCATACACAATAAATCGAAGCAAACCAAGCCAAGTAACAAAAAGAAAACGTTTGAAAAAACCATCATAAAAATTCAAACTTTTCGTCGAAGGCTACTAGGCGGGGAGGAACACGGCGCGAGGAAACCAAAAGACGCCGGAAATCGTCGGAAAAAAGTAAACATCGAAGCTATTTTATCTGATCTACAACACTATGCTGTTCTGAATCTTTATTTTTTTTTAAATGCTTATTTCAACAAACATCAGGTTTAAGTGTGGGATGGGATATTTTCCATATTTATGGAAATCTTGGAAAACAAAATTGAAAAATAAACATGTCTTGGACACAACTGTGTTTGGCACTCGCATCTAAGTCCGAGCAACATAAGTATAATTTCCCGGAGCACTATGAAAAATGGGTGTTCATCTTGTGGTTAGTATTTTTTGAAGCCTCCCATAAGTAAGAGTCGTTATCCTGCTTCTTTTTAGAACACTAATGGCATGCATTTAGACAATGTTTAGTATTTGAGAATTTACTGAATCCAGTGCTGGTGCTCTTCTAATACATGTTTGCTTTGTGTGGTGAGAACAAATACCTTATCTTAGTTTTCTGTGTCGTTAGAGATGATCTTGCAGAGCCAGGTGCTGGGAAAGTTTACAGTTGAAGTCTAAATTTTTACTATAGACAGTAATTCCTGTGAAGCTACTTGGTAAATGGAAATTCCAAAAGAGCAGGAACTGTATTCAGCTCTTTTTGTACATTTCGGGTGACAACGTAGGCATTACTCTAGAACGATTATGTGGTAATTAGTCTGCAGGAAAAATAAGTGGTGTAAAACAGATAGCTTGTATGTATTTATGTTCAAATATGATAGCATCTTGCCAGCATTATTGTGCAGAGTGGTGTCAAACGATTTAACGATTTTCCAACGATTTCTCAAAGTCTTCTCAAATCTAACCATGAAGTTCCGACCAAAGCTTCATCGGATCTCTGCCCTTCATGGTTTTTATTTTTCTTCTTCCTTGTTGCAGGTTGTGGGTGTAGGGTTTGGCTCTCAATTTTGATCTGTTGGGTATATTTAGTGGTTCATGGTAGGAAAACGGTTATTGGAATGGCTTAATGTATTTGATTTAGGCAATGTGTGGGGTTGTGGTGGAAGTTAGGTTGAAGGGTGAGGTTTAGGGTTGTGAGGGGGTGGTTTGGTGGAGCTCATGTGAACTGTTGGCTTTGTGGAGGAGATGAGGTGGTTTTTATGGGTTAGCTATGGAGTCTTCGTCTACTTTGAGAGGTGGTTGTGACTTGCGAGCTGCAATTCAAAGCGGTGATTACAAATTTGATGTTTAAGATTTTTATAAAATTCATTTATAATGTTTATTAATTAATGAAAATTTAATTTTAAAAAATATTTTTTTCAAAGCAATTTTATTTAATGTAAATTTCTAAATTTTCTGTGTATATTTTAATTTTTAGTGCTAGGATTAAATTGCTACAATTAGGGGTGCTTATTCGAGCGAGTCAATCACGAGTTGGACAATATTCGATTCGTGCTCGTTAAAAAATTTTGTTGCTCGATTCCTTTTTTGTTAAGATTTTGTTTGAATCGTGCTCGTAAAAAAGCTTATTGCTTGACTCATTGCTCGTTAAACTCACTATAGGTAAAATCTACTGATATTACATAGAGCTTAATATAAACATAAATTAACAAAATTAACCCAAAAAATTATTAAAAGAGTGTATGAAACAAATTCAAAATCTGAACTTGAAAGATATTAAAACCAAAGTAACAATCCACAATTACTTAATTATAAAAAAATTATGATTTGCTCGTGAATTTATTGAGTTGAGTTTGACTTCATTCGAATCAACTCGTTAAGGTTTCGAGTCGAGTTCGAGTTCAAATCAAATTAATCCGAGTCGAACATTGATTGAGTTGAATTCAAGTTGCTCACGAGTTGCTCAACTCATTAAGCACCCCTAGCTACAATATTTAGATTAGGTATTTAAACTTGGATGATTATTTTTTATATTGAAGCTTAAATTAAAATGATACATAAGCGTCAATAAAATTTGTTATTATATTACGTTTTTTGTTTATAAATTATTTATCAGTGAATACGAAATAAAATAAAAAAATTCATTGATATTCTTTAAAACTTTTTAAAGCTGTGTGATCCAATTAAAAACCTACTAATAGGGTGACTTATAAGTAATTTACCTTGTAAATATACAAGACAAAATATACTTGAGAATCTGTGATCCATTAATAATTTGCTTTTAAAAATAAAATATTAGATTAAACTATGTCTTAATCATATTAATAACTAAATTAGTTGCAGCTAACGAAAACAATTAAATAAGCCGATTGAACATAAAACAAATCTCTCCCAAATATGGTACAACTTTTTTTTATTAATCTGGTGTGAATATAAGGTAGTATTTGTTCGAAAGATTTAATAATTTGATAATGAATATTCACATACTTCTACAAATGTGATACTCGATTTCTAGGTATAACAACAATTCATTATCAACTAATCTTGCTTGATTCATACAAATAGTATACTTTTTAAAATAAAAAAATACACACAAAATAAAACTAGTTAATATATTAAGGTCGATAAAACCTTTAAAATTTTCTCACTCTAAACTTCTTTCATTGATCAAAATTAATAATAATTAACTATCACATGTGACCGTTTGAAGATTAATTGTGGACTCATTTCATTATTTTCATATTCTTTTCTTTTCTCTTGTTTTTTTTTTCCTTTTCCTTTTTCATTTTAGGTTTTATTTTACAAATTTATTTTGCAGATCTAAATTCTTTATCTTATTTTATTTTATTTAATAAATATTTTTTCTTTTCTTATAAAAAAATAACATGTTTCCGTTTGTTCTTGAAGTACAATTAACAATTATTTGATTATTTTGACAATCTACCACTATTTTGGTCACTTAGGTCGATTCTTTCATACTGATAAGTGTTCACAATCATCTTGGATTTATCAGACTTGAGTTATGATAAAGTCATCTGTCAATGTGTTGTCATGTTCTATTATTATATTAGTGTTGATTGTTCACCGTCGACAAATATTTATATATTTTATTTGTTTTGAATTGTTTTGTTAATTTTATTAACTCTGTAATCGTATGATCATATTTTTTTATTCAGCAGCTAGTTTTTGTTATTTAATAGTTCTAAGAGAATGATAGGTTAATGTTTTAGTCTGGTTTGGATTTTGTATAGTATTCTTTTTTTAAGGTTATGAACTTTATTGTATTTTTTCTTTATTTATTCAATAAAACTAGATATTATTTATTTTTTTTTAAAAAAAAGTAATGCGTAGGTTAGTCGAGTTTGAGTTTAAATATTTTGTAAAGAACAATTAATATATTTTTTGAACAGAAAAGAACAACTAATATATTCATTACAATAATAACTTATACTATATATTAAACTCTTGATTAAGTTAATGTCAGAGTCAATTCAACACTAATTTAATTTAAAAATTATTAAAAAAATATTTTTATTAATTATGATTAATGTTATTATAATAATATTTTTCTTTTTTCATACTTTTATATAATATAGACATAAAACAACTGACAACATAACTTGAGGATTGAACAATGGTGAAGCCATATATGGGATTGTGGGTCCATTGAACCCACAAAATGGAAACATTGTTTTTTACAAACACAAATTATATGTTTAAGTTTTACATTTTAATCCCACAAAATTTTAATTTTTTTTATAAAAATAATTTAATATATCTCACTCATTAAACATCCAAACAAATCCAAGCGCTTTTTATTTTCCTAACTTAATGGTATCAGACGCCCTTAAACATTTAAAAAAATTAATATGACCATCAAATTATTTTTGCTCTCAACATGATCATCAAACTAATGTGACCCTTTGATCAACAATTTTCATTGTTGACTGTTACGAGGTTGACGTAACAGTTTATTGTGCTGACGTTACAATCAACACTGTTGATTGCCAATTCCTTAAAAAAAGTTAGGTATTCAAATTTTGACATTATAAATGGAATAAATTGAATTGTGAGGATCATCCCTGTAATATATCGTTGTAGTATCTAATTCAAATTAATTGATTAGTATATTATTTTATTTTCAAATAATTTTATATACTTTTGGGTATCAAAAATTAGCGTTGGGTAATAATTTACCCTACAAAGAATAATCGTCGTCTAATAGCAAGCTAAATTTTGTTATTTTGCTACCAAAAATGTTGCTTTTGTCGCTTTTAGGGTTTAGAATAATAAAAATGTGCTATGTCAAATATTGAATTATTATTATTATTATTATTATTATTATTATTATTATTATTATTATCAGTCAGTTTATAAAAATATACATCAAACTTAATTTATTTTGGATTAGATCTAATATTTTTTATAAAATATTTATTAAATTTTTTTAAAAATATTATATTTAATGTATTAAAACGTGTCTTTATTTTTATTTATATTAAGTAATTTTATTTCAAATAAAAGATAGAAAACTTAAAAAAAACAGAAATATAACTAAAATAAGATAAAGACATGATAAAAGAATTAATCATGTTCATAATAAGAGATGATATCTTTTGAAAATTAACGTACTTTAATATCTTTGATTTTCTTTTACTATCATAAAATAATAAAATATTAATTTTATATAAAATATAGAGTTTAATATCAATTATATAACTTTTGAAAAGTTAATATCTAAAAAAATTCTTTTAACATAATTTAGTGATCATTTCAAAATTTTACCCTACAATATTAATGTTATTTATCCATGTAACATCCATTCTAGAATTTTTCATACTTAATAATTACATTTTTTTCTAACAAATAAGATTCAATTGAATATTATCAATTATATTTAATAAGATATTATTTAAATATAGATTAAAAGTTAAAACTTTATTTAATACAAAATAAAAATATATATCCGATAATTGTTTTTTTAAATATATTCGATAATTGTTAGAATTTAAACTCTAGGACTTGTATTTATTATCTCTAGAAGGAAATATTGCCATTTTTTATAGGACTTTTGACTTTTGGTTTGAATTAGAGGTTGCCGAAATTTTGAAGGGGCCGCCGACCTTCTCAATTTAATTCACGAACGAACTTCCCCAACATCTATCTGTATTTTAATAATTCATTAAATGAGATTAGCTCCAATGGAGTTAAACGCATCCGTATGTTCTTTATTTTAAATTGATCTTTAAATTTTTAAATATTCTAATTTCATCACTAAATTATGACTGTTATTCTAAATTACTCCTTAAACTTTTGAACATTTTAATTTCATCTTCAAACTATGACTTTCATTCTAAATCGGTCCCCAAATTTTTTTTATCATTCCACTTTTATCACAAACTATATGTATACACTAATCACATCCCTTGTTAATAAAATCGTAAGTCAAGTTATATTATCATATGTTTGAAAAAAATTAGGTTAAATTAGGGTTGAAACTAATGACATATTTGGTTGAATTTGAGGATGGTATTCAAAAGTTTGAGGACTAATTTAGAGATAGAGTCATAATTTGAGGATGATATATATATATATACACACACACATATATAATTATTAATTAAAAAAATTAAAATTATTATTTAAGGTAAAAAATTTAATTTAATGATTATATATAATATAAATTATTGTTAACTTTATCAAATAATTTCATATATTTTTAATAAAAATAAATTGATTTATATAAATATACGTGTGTGTGTGAAATTATTATTAAAAAATTAAAATTATTGCTTAAGTTAAAAAAATAATGTAATGATTATATATAAAAATTGTTGTTAATTTTATCAAATAATTTCATATACTTGTTAATAAAAATAAATTGAGTTAATATATATATGTAAAAA